CCCCATCTTCTCAAATGTACAAGGAAAGTGTTTTCTTCTCTCTGCGGAAGGCCATCACTCCCTGTCTATGTAATTGACCTCCTCCACCCAGGGACACCTTCAGGGCTGGTGGCCCCAGCGCCTTCCTGCTTTGGATATAGGAAGTCCCCGGGATCATTCTTGAATGTCCAGCTGTCCTTAGCTCAGTTTCTCCTCTGGACCCCCTCCTCCAAGCAGCCCTTCTTCACATACTCCCCACTTTCTTCTCAGAAGAGACAGGTGCCCTTACTGCAGTTTTCTCTCCTTTAAAATGTCCACAGCCAGACAGATCTTGAGTCCTTCTGGTGATGTTAGTCAGACTCGCTCTGCCTCATCTTCCTTCCTGCTTCATCCTGCTCCCTGTTCCAAGTCCTGATTTTTATCTGTTGTTGTTGTCTTACTTTGCCTTTACATATTTTAGATCACTGTAAGGGAATCTTGCCTCCAGAATCTTCCTTTTATACCTACCACTTTCTTTTCCTCATGTCTACTCAAAGCTCAAAGCATGAAGTGAGAAGTATGCGGCCAGACAGTAGTGGCTCACACCTGTCATCCTAGCTGCTCAGGAAGCTGAGATCTGAGGATTATGTTTCAAATCCAGCCCAAGTGGGAAAGTTCATGAAACTCTTATCTCCAGTGAACCGCCAGCCAGCGCCAGGAGCAGTGGCTCAAGTAGTAGAGCTTTAGCCTTGAGCACAAAGGCTCAGGAACCATGCCTAAGACCTGAGTTCAAACCCCCAAAAAGAAATAAATAGAAGAAAGTATGGTAAAACTCAAGTTACATTTTCTACCCTGTAGTTCTCATGGCTATACGTACTAGAACTCTGAAACTAAAGTCGTAATGAATCAGATGGCCCTTAGAAGATTCCAGAATCCTCATGACTTTTTCCCTTTTCCTAATGGTAGCCCTTTGTCATAGAAGTCTATGCTCAGAGCAGCTTGTAACCTGGGACAAGAGAAGCATGTTTCTCTGTGATAAGTAGAATTTGTGTGGAAAGAGAAGGTTCCACTGACTCCCGCCGATCCTTGCATGGCCTGGCTGAGCATAACCCCCTCCAGAGAGTCCAGAGTGAGGGCAGAGAGGGTCACTAGCGTATGCCAGTAAAGACCAGCCTGACAAGCCTGATCAAGAAGGTCAATAGTGGAAAGATGCTTCCTCTTGCCTGCATTGTGCTATTAAGCAGCCAGGAAAGAGTATGTTTGGATACTGACACTTAATACATTTGCCCATAGGCTTCCTTCAAAATTCCTCTGGGAACTCTTCCAGACACACCCTCCTCCACAGATATTATGAAGATGGTATAAATTTTGCTGACTCTGTCTTACTTAAATCGTGCTTGGTCATTCTCCTAAGAGTCTGGAATATGATTTACTGTTTCTGTGTTACAATTTTTTCTGGTGTTTGAAGTGGAAATAATTTTATTACAGATTAAAATAATTTCTCCTCTCAAGCACATGCTAACATAATATTGTGAATTTGAAAATTGGTTTTTCTGTATTCACATGCTTAATGTTAAAGACAGAATTATTATTATTATTTTGCCAGTCTTAGGGCTTGAACTCTGGGCCTGGCCACTGTCCCTGAGCTAACACTCTACCACTTGAGCCACAGTGCCACTTCCAGCTTTTTCTGAATAGTTTATTGTAGATACAGATTTCACAGACTTTCCTGCCCCAGCTGGTTTCGAACCACAGTCCTCAGATCTCAGCTTCCTGAGTAGCTAAGATTATAGGCGTGAGCCACCAATGCCCAGCTTTTATTACCATTTTTAAAAATGGAAGGGGCTTGGTTGTTCCTAGTGATAGAGCATGTGCTTAGCATGAATGTGTTTCTGAATTTGATCCCAAGCACCTGAAAAAAAAATCTACATTTTCCTTGTAAAGTAGTACCTACTTTTTGTGCATTTACTAGTTTTTCAGACAAATCAGTTTATTTGGTACAATGAAACAACCTTAGCTTAGGTGCTAATGGTTCATTCCTGTAATCTTGGTTACTTAGGAGGCTGAGATCTGAAAGATTGCAGTTTGAAGCCAGCCTGGGCAGAAAAGTCCGGGAGAAACAATCTCCAATTAACCAGCAAAAACCAGGCTGGAGTATGGCTCAAGTAGTAGAACACTACCCATGAGCAAGCAGGTCTAGCAAGTGTAAGTGTAAGGCCCTGAGTTCAAGCCCTGATAACTGTTTGTGTGGGTGCATGCACACACATACACACACACACACACACACACACACACACACACACACACACACACAACCCACAACCCACAAGGACCCTCTTTGTTACATATTCATTTGCAAGAGGTATGTTTCTTTTGTCCTTTTCTTTTTCCTCATAGCTTAAATTTCAAGTATTTAGTAGAGTTGACTACATGGAGGTATATACCTATCTTGGCTTGAAATTTTCCATATCCGGTTTTAGAGAAAAAATACTATTCTTTGGATCTACACAACAATACTATTTGTACAGTTAAGATGACACAAGGCTGAGGGTGTAGCTCAGAGAGAGAGTACATTCCTACCTTTCAAAAGGCCCTGGGGGCCAGGCACTGGTGGCTCAAGCCTGAAATTCTAGCTACTCAGGAAGCTGAGATCTGAGGAGTGCAGTTCGAAGCCAGCCCAGGCAGGAAACTCTGTGAGACTCTTATCTCCAATTAACCACCAGAAAACTGGAAGTGGTGCTATGGCTCAAGTGGTAGAGTGCTCACCTTGAACTGAAGAGCTGAGGGACAGCGCCCAGGGCCAGAGTTCAAGCCTTACAACAACAGCAACAACAAAGGCCCTAGGCTCAGTCTCCAGCACAACAGAGAAAAAAAAAAAAAAGGAAAAGAACAGTATGTTTGAAGCAGTTCCTAACTGATAATGGCATCCTATATCATCATCTTTATTTTCATTATTACTGGTGGTGGTGGTGGTGACAGTAGTAGAATATATATATATATGTATAATGTAATTGTCCTTTTTTTATTGTAAGGATTAAACTTGGGGCTTTATGCTTGCTAGGCAAGAGCTCTACCACTTGGGCCACAACCCCAACCAAGCTTTCAGCCTGGTTTTTCAGGCTAGCCTGAGACCAAAATTTTCTTCCTCTGAGATTACAGGTATGCCACGGTGCCTAGCTTATAATCATCTTTAAACAGGCCAGGATAGAAATGACTTCATTTTAAAAATACTCCCTGAGGAAAAAGAATCTTAATAAATCAATGTTTAGGAAAAAAAATCCAGAAGCCACCCACTGGTGGCTCACACCTATAATCCTAGCTACTCAGGAGGCTAAGATCTGAGATCATGGGTTCAAAGCTAGCTCCAGCCCCGTAAGACTCTCATCTCCAATTAACCATCAAAAAGCTGGAAATGGAGCTTTGGCTCAAGTCCTAAAGCACTATCCTTGAGCACAAAAGTTTAGGGACAGTGCCCAGATCCTGAGTTTAAGTCCCAGGACACAAACTTTCTCTCTCTCTCTCTCTCTCTCTCTCTCTCTTTCACACACACACACACACACACACACACACACACACACTCATACTGATTGCACAATGACATGGATAGACTTAATTCTATTGAACTGTATACTTTAAAATTGTTAAGAGGGGCCAGGTATGGTAGCTACTTGGGAAGCTAATACCAGTAGGATCATGATTCAAGGCCAGCCTGGGCAAAAAGCTCATAAGACCCCCATCTCACACAAAAAGCTGGGTATATTGGTACATGCCTATCATCCCCGGTAAGAAGGTGTAAATAGGATCCAGACCCAAATACAAGACCCTCTTAAAAAAATAACAAAAACAAAAGAGATGGAGTCATGACACAAGTAGTAGAGTTCTTGTCTAGCAAGCACAGAGCCTGGTGTTCAAAACCACAGTATTGGGCTGGGAACATGGCTTAGTGGTAGAGTGTTTGCCTAGCATGCATGAGGCCCTGGGTTCAATTCCTCAGTACCACATAAACAGAAAAAGCTGGAAGTAGCACTGTGCTCAAGTGGTAGAGTGCTAGCCTTGAGCAAAAGAAGCTCAGGGACAGTGCTCACACCCTGAGTTCAAGCCCCAGGACTGGCAAAAAATCAAAGATAAAAACAGTACCACCCCCACCCAAAAAAATTTACCATGGTAAAAGTTAAGTGTGGGTGGGTAAAGTGGGAGTATAGAAACAGTTGGTTACAGAGTTGGCAAGGTGGAGATGGCAGCAGTGGGCTTTGTTGCACAGATCCTGGAGGGTAGATTTGGTTACAGGTGAGGGAGAGCTCCTCCTCACTGATTCTCCTCCTACAGCCAGTTGTCTGGTATGAATAGGGACCCCTGCAATATCGCTGGGCTGGTGAGATTTGAGTCAGGGCTCTAGAAAGGCAGAGCCCTCCTTGCCTGACACACTGACACTCAGTAGGTCTTTCTCCTGTTATTCGCTCTGAAAGTTATGCCTGCACCCCCAGTGTGCCATCTTAGAGGACGTCTGCTCCCGAGGTGCCGTGGCCCCTTCTCAGAAGCTCCATGTTCATGGATATTTGGGTCCCCTGCCACTAAAGCTAACAGACAAGAAGCCAAGGTGTTAGTTACTTGCCTGGCCTTGAGCCAGGATAGCTGTGGCTGGACAGGAGACTCCAACCCTCTAGTCCCATCCTTTGTCTTCTACCTCATTTGGTCGTCCTATGACACCCACACTCAGAAAATACTACCAGATAGGAAAGAACTGAAGATTGGTCTCCAGTGGCACAGGAAGGAAAGCTCTGTTATCCTAAGAGAACTTGGCCAGAAATGATTAAAATAAGATGCACCAGGATCATGAGTGATGTCTTCAGACCAAAGCCAGCTTTTCCCACCTTTAATTTTTATGAATTACTGATGTTTATAGAATCAGCAGTTTTTCCTATTTCCAAAGAAAGATTGTTTTTATTGGTTGTAGTTTTTTTTTCTTTTTGGGGGAAGGAGTTACTGGGATGCCTTGTTCTGTTGTTAATTTACAGTGCTAACTTTGACCCTGTTTCCATTAGGAGACGAAAGCATGGAAATTAAAAAACAAATTACAGGGATGAGAAGATTATTGAATGACAGCACTGGAAGGATATATCAGCGTGTAGGCAAAGAAGGAGAAAAATTAAAAGAAGAGCCCCAGGATTTGGATTTAGTGTGGCCTCAACGTTTGAACTCCTCCACTGAGCCTCCACAGGGCCTCCACCCTCCTTCCCATGGTGTGTGGAATGAGCTACCACCCCAAAGTGGGCAGTTCTCAGGACAGTATGGCACACGTTCTAGGACCTTCCAGAGTCAGCCCCATGTTGCTGTGAGCTCCAATGGTATGATTGTCATCAGGTGTTTAGAATGCATTTGTTAGTGGTTGTCCTGTACTTCATTTTGTTCCCAAATACTGTTCTTTGAGATCCATTTATTAAACCGCTTCCTTAATACCCACCTTCATTGAGTTTTTTTTTTTTTAAGACAGGGAAGACATAAAGGAAAAAATTGAAGTATGTCAAAAGTCCAGAAATGAAAATCAGGAAAGATGGCAGGTCTCAGCCCTTTAAGAAGTTAAAGCTGTTAACTGCTAATACAGATGTTATTGCCATAAGAGACTCAATACGGGGACAGCAAAAAAGACCCTTCACCCCTACAAGAAGCTTCTGGGTGGGATGTGTATATCCACACAGCCTCCTGTTCAGTCCTCCTCTGCTTCATCATCTGAAGAATCCTCAGAGGAAGAGCTCATAACCTGCATCTCACAGAACTCCCTCTTTTAACCCTTAATTCTGTGTTGGGTCAAAGAATTCATGCTTTCTAACTCCTCCTCATCACTGAGAAGTATTCCTTTAAAGAAAAATATCTTTGAAGTCCTTAAGTCGTAAGGAGTGGGGGAAATAACGTTTTTTTCAGCATTTAAAAAAATTTTATGGTCTTCTTGGCCATATTAATTTTCCAGCTGATACATTAGGTGTTATTTATAAATTATGTACAGATGTGCCAGCCTATAGTTTTCACAAAGAACAATAGGAAAAAAAGATTTTTTCAGCTACCTTGAAAAGTTAAGGATGTTCTTCCTTTTATTTTCATTTTAAATCAGTCAAGAAAAAGAGAACTGGTGATGTGTTGTTGTTTAAACACAATTCAGTGTAACCAGCTCAGGAACAAGAAAACCCATCCCGAGACACTAATGAGACAGCCAGGGGCTCAAGATGGACGGTGTCTTCTCTTCCTCTCAGTATTACTGAGGCCAATATCAAGTTCACGTGCTGGCATGCTTCCAGGTTACAGGGAGATGGCTCTTTAAAGGCTCCTCCATAAAAAAAAAGTCTGTTCTCTTTAAAATTAGAAAATGATTTATAACGAGCTGAGGGGTTGGTTTTGTCCTCTAAAAACCATAAAGACAGTACTTAGAAATAACACCGAAGAATAGTGTATAAAGCTCCCTGATTCTGCTGACATGGAAAGACAGAAGTAAAAATGCCTTTATGCCTTTCAGTTGGTGTGAAGAGAGAACTTTTGGGTAACAGGTGTTCTCATTTCTAGGACACAGCAAAGATAATGGAGAAGTGTTCATGTTCATAAAAGTTACAAGCTGATTTCTCCATAGAAGTTTGAAAATAGAACTTTTTGTGATTATTTCCCCCACACTGTCAATAAAAATGCATTATATTCAGTTGATCTTTGAATAACACAGGTTTAAACTGTACAGGTCTATCAAGGAAGACTTCTTTTGAGATTTGTGAAAATCTGAGCAAACTCATACAGCCTAGAAATCGTGAAAAAAGTTTTAAAGTTAGGTATGTCGTGAATGTACAAAATATATGTATGTAATAGCCTATCATTCACCATAAAATATGTTTTATTAAAAATTCGAATTGAGCCGGGCACTCGTGGCTCATGCCACCTACTAACTACATAGGAGGCTGAGATCTGAGGGTAACGATTCAAAGGCAGCCTGTGCAGAAAAGTCTGTGAGACTCTTTTCTTCAGTAAACTACTCAGGGGGTGGGGGGAGAATGGAAATGGCTTTGTGGCTCAAGTGGTGGAGTGCTAGCCTTGAGCTAAAGAATCTCAGGGACCGCACCTAGGCCCTGAGTTCAAATCCCAGGACTGGCAAAAAAAATTTTTTAATCAATTTGATCTCGGGGTTTGCACCTATATAATTGTAGCTACTTTAGGGAGGATCACAGTTCCAGGCCAGTCAAGCAAGACAAGTCCAGAAGACTCCCATCTCTATAAAGAAGTTAGGTGGCCCATATCTGTGATCCCAGTGATGATGCCTCAAGTAGGTGGATCACAGCTCAGGGAGGGCCGAAGACATGACTCAGGAGTAGAGCACCAGCATAGCAAATGTGAGGTGGAGTTCAAGCCCCTGTAACCACCAAAAATTAAAATTTAGCAAAACCAACCACGCACTTACAGATTGTAATCTATACCATTTACAGTTGAGAAAAATACAAACAGATCAAAAATAGTATTAAATCATACTGCAAATTAAGGAAGAAATAGTGTAGAAATAATTTTTTCACCCTTTTTCTGTTGCCACTGCAAGGAGTCAAAAGTTAAACATGGCTTTTCAACTGCAGAGGGAGTCAGTGAAGGCATCCAGACCCTCGTCGCTCAAGGATATAACTGTGACTATCTCCTTGTAATAATCTGCAATTGTAAAGTGGTAACATCTTTGTTTACTAACATTTTGAAAGTAAACAATTGTGTAACTTCAAACGTTATCTTGGCCAGGCACACTTCACCCATGGTTGAAATCCTAGCTACTCAGGAGGCTGAGATCTGAGGATCACTGTTTGAAGCCAGCCCAAGTAGGAAAGTCCATGAGACTCTTTGCTCCAATTAACCACCAAAAATCAGGAAGTAGAGCTGTGTCTCAGGTGGTTGAGTGCTAGCCTTGAGCAAAAAACAACTCAGATAGCATCGAGGCCCTGATTTCAAACCCCAGGACCAACACAAAAACAAAAAAAAACATTATATTTAACTATTGTATCATTTTGCTGTGGTGAACTTCTCTCAGGTAATCATAAATAATGAGTATTATAGGATTTAAATTATATCCCATGTATATAATAAAATATATAGTTTGAACAAAATCTTAAAACATACCTCACCCACCTATCAGAAAACTTAAGTAGGAGCTGTCCCTTAAACCACTCATTTTATGGTAGCCAACATCACTGCTAGAGAGGACTGGGCTGTCAGAGTGCTTTTCCAAATGTGCTGTTTTATTCCAAGAGCTTACTTGATACAGAATAGGATAGTTTTATTAAGGGAAATGTGTTAAATTTAAACAGGTGGGAAGGAAACGATTGTGAGGAAAAGAAAGAAGCAGCAATGGATAGAAGATGGAAGAGGAGAAAAGCAACCCATCAACGCATTCTGATCCATCCAGTGGAGTCCTCTCTTAGCTGCTCCCTGCTTTTTTCCAGCAACATACAGGATTCTAGACATTTCCAGATGTTCACAGCTCTTCATTTTTTAAATAACATACTAATATTAAAATTCTTTTTAATACTTAGACTCAACTCTCAATATTGATTCTGATAACATACATACACAGCTACCAATTGTTTTGTAAGGCTGTTTTGAGTGCTTTTTTAAAAAAATTATTTTTGTGCAAACTAATATGGGTATGATGATAATACTTTAGAGTATTGTTATGAAGACGGGCTTGTCTTAAAATAGGTAGCCTACTGTGGCCAGGCATTGTGTGCATGTGTGTGTGTGTGTGTGTGTGTGTGTGTGTGTGTGTGTGTGTGTGTGTATGTGTGTGTTCACACACACCTTAGTGCTGTAGAAGCCTGGGTAATTAGATGAAGTCAGACCCCAGAAATTTAGGTTGTGAAAATTATCAGGTACATTTTCATTAGGCACAGCTTCATAGTAATTGTACATGTTTCAAAATCCTGTCAACAAACCATCTTTTTTTTTTCCCCTTTTATTATTTGTGTGTGTGTTGGGAGCATGTCATTCTTTTCTCTCTCATGCTTAGGAGAACTTCCAGTGGTGAACTCGTCAGTTGAATCAAACTGCTGTACTTGTAACTGCCAGTCAACGTTACAAGCCATTCTTCAAGAACTCAAGACCATGAGGAAATTAATGCAAATCCAAGCAGGTACAAAGATCTGACATCTTCACTTGGGGTGTACGTTGTGCTTTGGTTTTACCCACTTTGCTGTCTTACTGTGCCTTTTCAAGTGCCCATTTTCTCTGATTTTTCTACAGTTCCCCCCACCTTTTTTTTTTAATCATACATTCTTCATTATCCCAATGCCTACTCACAGGTACACATTCTCAGTATACTCCATTGCATAATCTCTTTGGTACTTCACTGGTCAGTTAATTAAATTTTGGAATATCTGACTTGGAAGAGCCTTTTCGGAATGCCAGCGTCACAGTTGAAGACATTCAGGGATGAGAGCAGATGCAGTGCTGAGCCTGAGGTTCAGCATTGAGTTGAGGTGAAAGGGGGACTGGTCACCCAGTTTCTCCTAACAGGATGACTTCATTCCCACCCCACCTCCAACACTCCCCTCCCATGCTGATACTGAGGCTTGAACTCACTGTCTCTTGGATTTTTTGCTCAAGGCTGGTGCTCTACCACTTTTTATCATGGCTCCACTTCTAGTTTTTTGCTCATTAATTGGAGGTAAGAGTCTCAAGGATTTGTCTCCCTGGGCTGGCTTCGAAAATCATGATCTTCAGATCCCAGCCTTCTGAGGAGAGTAGCTAGGATTACAGGTATGAGCCACCAGTGCCGGCTGCAGGGTAACTTCTGAGCCTTCAAGTTCTTGTTTGTAAATTATTTGTATTCTAATTCACAGGGCTGTTTTTCAAGTCAGAATGAGATAGCAAATGTAAATTCATTTTGTAATATGATATAAGCATGAGCTCTCTCATTTGGGTTGTTTTAAATCATTGTTACTATTGATATGTTGTACAGAGGAGTCAGGTGATGAGTATCATTAATGTTGTTTTTAAAACCATGTAGCTTTTGACTTTCAGAAGTCTGAAAATCAGTGTTCATCTAGTTACTTGTTTTCTAGTCTCCATAATTAGAGGAAAACAGGATTTTCTTGGGTCATGGGTACAGGAACCAATAGATAATTTTGTTAAAACTTCCCTCTAAGTAAAGGGAAACTGATGCTTAATGATGGTTACGAAAAAGCAGAAAAATAGAAAAATGGTCCCTTGCGACTGGCCTTCCTACCCTCAGAAATTGTTCTGGGTGCCACTTAGGGAGTTCTAGTAAAGTCTTAGTATTTAGTGATGTGATTTTGATAAAGAAGGCTTCATTATGACAAGAGTTAACTTTGCTCAAGATGCCTTGTGCTCATAAATTGGCTTGTTGAAATGAAACTCCTCTGTATAACTACTTGAAGATGGTAAAAAATTTAATTTAAAAAAGAAAACTTAAATTTTTGGCATATCAGTAATCCAGAATCACATTCAAGTGAGTTAAAGGCTTTGTGGGATTCTGCATCTTTTAAAATAAATACTAAATTGGATCTTATCCCAAGGCAAAAATAAGCATTTTGCTCAGGTCAGTAAGCATCATCTGACTCACCTTGTTTCACCACAATAATTCGTGTTCCTATTCACCTGACAAAGGTTACCATCTCCTAAAGAAGTGCCTCAGGAAGAAAGGGAACTTGATTCTGTATGGATTCTTCCCTTTGTGGGAGAATTTGTTAGCACTTAAGAAAATACGCATACGACACTGTAATGATTTATTTTGTTACCTAAGCTCCTTACTACTGAAATGGCAAACTACAAATTGCAGCCATGTAAATCCTTGACTGAAGCCTTTTTAGAATCTATTAAGTAAATGCCACTTTGTCACCATGTTTTCTCTTGTGAACCTTTTGCAGATTAAAGATGTAAATGATTCCAGAGCTGTGGATAGTATAAAGGATAAACTGAATACATTACTTTAATTTTCTCAAATTTAAAAAAATTGTGTTATACAGGCAGATTTATTTAAGGTTTATTGCCTTTAAGACTCAGATTTAAATTATATTTTGGAGGTTTCACCTTTAAGGAAAGACAAAGGAATAAGATCAAACAGTAAGATCTGGATATAAGATACAGGCTCAGTCTAGATTAGCAAAAGAAGCAAAACTCAAATAGTCCCTGTGTGCTTTAAACCCAAACCATTTTTATTTATCATTTGAAGGAGTGAGATTTACAGGGCTTCAGGTAGGTGGTCTTGATGATTGCTTATGAGGTCCATTGGACTCTGGGAACTGGACATAGACTTTGTCTGAACTAGAATACAACTCAGAGATGTCCTCAACTGTCTGAGCAGAGAGCCACTGTGGAGAACTTTAGAACAGTCCTGACACTCCCACACCTGAACACTCCACTTAGTCTGGGGTGGGCTAAAACATTGACATGTTCTTCAAAACCCAGAGTAAGCAAAGAGACTAATTACTACTGCCTGAGTGATTAAACAACTTTACTTGTAAATTAGCTTCCAGTCTGGAAATGAAACTGTCAGGATCAAAGTGTAAACAGTGTTTATTCTCATACTGATAGAAAATAGAAGTTAACCTGTGTTCATGCATTTAAAGGCCATTACTGTAACACTTGGCTTATGTTTATAGGTTCCTTTCTGTTTTTTTTAAAAAAAAGACATTCAAGGAGGTATAGATCTATCCTGTGGTCATTTGTAGGGATCTGCATTCATGCATGAGCATCTAATACAAATTCATGGAGTATTTCCTTCTACACTGTATTAGAATAGCTCCAAATGCTTAGCCAACATTACTTGCTAGAGTGCATTAGTTAAAATCTAATCCCACCATCTTCAATTCTTTAAGGGTATGTTCAGTTGTGAGTACTTAGTCCTGGTACTGTTCTTGCATCTTTAGAATTCAAACTGCTTCTAGATTTTACTAGTTTTTCAACTTAGGGAACTATATTGTTCCTACTTTTCAGCTAGAAAACTGAAGTCTTATACAAGTGGCCTGGTCTAATACTGGATGAGCTTGTGCCCTAGAGACAGCTGATTTGATAATAGTTGAAGAAGGAGTTGTTGATTTGATAATAGTTGAAGAAGGAGTTGCTGGATCAGATTCCATAACTCATAGGCTTCTCCCCCAACCCTCCGCCACTTCCCTGTATTAGAAGGAAACTTTCCAAGCTATTTCTGTTGATCATCTCACCCAAATATCACCATCATTCCATCTTTATCAATTTTGGCAGCTCTAGATTATTAGCAACTGATCACTTCACCTCCAAATGACAGTGGGCATATTCCTGAAATAGGAATTCCAGAAAGCATGGATGACTACCTGAGTTTAAGTTCTGGAGTTGTCTTGCATTCAATAATGCCATGCACTTGAGGTTGCCATCTTCAAACATTTCCTCCTGGCTCTTAATCCCCGCCCTCTGTTGGAGGGGACATTGGAGCAGGACATTGTGACGGTTGGCTGGGCTTTTACTGTGGGGGTTTCTTGGCTGTTAGAGCTTTAAAGTTCACTGAGCTGCATTTGAGAAGCTTGGGGTCCTGAGTGAGATTTACTCTGGGGTACTTCATTCTTTTTTTAAAAAAACATTTTTACTATATATTATTTTAATTTTATTATCTTTTAAGTAGTTGTACAAAGAAGTTTCCATTTCAGTTATGAATAATACAGTGTATCTTGATCAGTGTCACTCTTTTGGTCATTCTCCCTCATCTCTCCCAACCCATCCCCTCCATTTTCCTAGTGCCATTTTCACATATGTACATTGAATATTATGACTGCCTTTGCTCACCCTTCCTTCTTCAGTTGTCTAAAGTTCAGCCTCTCTCCTTGACCTTAAAGCCCCCTTGCCCCCAACACATACCAGCTTCCCAGTCTTCATTTTGTTAGACTGCAAGTTAACTGTTGAAAGGAGTTACACCATTGGAATTCTCCCCTGAATATACCATACCTTAGTTAATACATCTGAATATATGTGCATATGTATATTTACATATATATTTAGTAAATTGGATCTGGCATCCACATATGAGAGAAAAGTTGCGTCTTTTGTCTCCCTGGGCATGATTTGACTTACCATAGATTATCCCAGGTCCATCCATTTCCCTGAAAGTACTATGATATCATTCTTCTTGAGGAAGGAGTAAAATTCAATTGTATATCTGTTGTCACAATTCTTGATCCATTTGTCCCTTGAAGGACATCTGGGCTGTTTCCATAACTTGGCTGTGGTAAATAGTACAGCAATGAACATGGCTTATGCAAGTGGCTTTACCATATCCCAACTTACCATGTGGGCAAGCATGGTATGGCTGGGTTCTTAGGGGAGTTCTGTGTTTAGTTTATTTTTGAGGAATCTTCAAACTGCCTTCCATAATGGTCGGGTGCTTAATTCTTGACAAAGCTTCACTACCGTATCAGTTCACAAATCACAGAAAGGGACCGGGGTATGTTTTCCTCAGACACAAGTGCCTGTACCATATTTGTGTTTATTGTCCACAGTTGGAACTCAAAACAGACAACAACCCCCAATTTCCCTTATATGCTCCCAGCGAACTGCAGTCTCACGCAAGAGAACTAAAAAGAGAAAATTGCCCCCAAAGAGCATGGAAGCTGTTACTGAGAAACAGAAGGCCAGTGTGTTAGAAATTGAGACGAAGCCAGCAGCAGGGGCCTCAGAGCCTCAGCCAGGACTCCCAGCCCCCCAGCACACCTCCGCTGAAGAGAGCCACGTTCTGGGATTTGGCATTGTTCTCGAATCGCCTTCCTCAGATGTAAGTTGATGTTTTTTCTGGCTGCTGACTCTAACCAGTAGAACTTTCAGGAATTTTACCCTATTATTTCCACCCCTGACAACTTAAGAGACTTGATGTGGGAAAAAGGAAAGACTAGCAATCCTTGCCCTGCCAGGAACTTTCATTTTGGAAAACTTCATGCCTTATTTATTCAAATATATTTCCATCCGTTATCTCTGGAAGTAGATGGGTGATGGCGTAAATAATTTGCTCACTAATTTCTTTAACATGTTTAATTTCAGAGTGGTGGTTTTCAATTTCCTCAATATAGAAAACTAAAAGAATATAATTAAATCCTTTGTGGATGGGCATAAGTGAGCAGAAGCATACAGATAAGGTCATACCTTTCTGGAAACATAAACTAATAATAATAATAAAAAAAAAGGGAGCAGTAGTGCTAATTCTGTTTTATAGATGCAAGCTACACTGCTAATTAGGTGGCAGTGCCGTGCCGTTGACTCCATGTAATGATAGGTTAATGCTCTGCAAAGGTTTGCTATTTTAATATCATAGCTAGAATGTTGTTGCAGTCTGGGATGTTGGATTCCATCTGAGATATTTATCTGACTTGCTGTTTTATATTCATAGGACCATAAGTGAATTTCTCTCATGAGGTGCTATATTTGCAGTTGCATACTCTGTTTGCAGTATCTTTATCTTGAGTACATTTACATCGTTGTGAGCCCCAACTTGTTAGAGTTCTTAAAATAAATAAAAGTGAGTTATCTATTATTATCAAATCACATGGGATGTGAATCCTGCTGAGAACTCCCACAGGACAATATAGGGTTGGAGTTTGGCCCTACCTTTTAAACTTGAAATACGCAACAAATCACTGAATATATTTTAAGTATTCCCTGTGATTTGTAGGAAGACAGTGTACTAGCATATATTCTCATTAGGTCTTTTTTTGATAAAGGGAGGCAATAAAAATAACCATCTTGCCAGGCGCTGGTGGCTCACGCCTGTAATCCTAGCTACTCAGGAGGTTGAGATCTGAGGATCCAGGTTCAAAGCCAACCAAGGCAGGAAAAATCCGTGAGACTCTTATCTTCAGTAAGCTACCAGAAAACCGGAAGTGGTGCTATGGCTCAAGTGGTAGAGTGCTCACTGAGAGCTGAAGAGCTGACAGTGCCCAGGCCCAGAGTTCAAGCCCCACGACTGACAAAAAACAAAACATCTTATGACTTTTTTTAGACTGGACAGTCATTTGAACTTTTATCCAATCCTTGGTGTTTGATTTTTTGGTAAATCTATAAGCACATGCTCCAACTGTTAGGAAGTTCTAAAAAAAAAAAATTAAGTTAAAGCCAATGCAGTGACTTTAGCTTATAATACTAGCTACTTGGGAGATGGAGATAAAGGATCACAGTTCAAGGTTAGCCTAGGACATAAAAGTTTGTGAGACTTCATCTCAGCCAGTGGCTAGATAGTTTGGTATGCTCCAGTCTTCCCAGCTACAGGGGAAACAAAATGGTTAGGCATAGTGACATGCACCTGTCATCCCCAGAGATACAAGGAAGCATAAGTAGGAGGATTGCAGACCAGGCCAGACCAGGCATAAATGGAGACTGTACCTTAAAAGTGACCATGGCATTGACCAAAATGAGCTAAACAACTCCATGGCAGCGATGGGAGGGAGGGAACAAGTGGGAAAGAGGGAACAGCTGATGCTATGCAAAACAAAAGAAATGTACATATCATCCAATGTGGAAGAAATAACTGTATTGCAAAGCTCATATAACTCATAAATGTTATAGACCTTGATAGACAATTTGCTCCAGGAAAGTTAGAATGTGTTTGTGACTTTAACTGAGCATCACTATCCCACAATACTGTGAAATTTGGGAAATTATGTAACCACTTAATCACAATAAAAAAATTTGAAAAAACAAACAAACAAAAAGTAACCATGGCAAAAAGAGGCTGGAGGCATGGCTCAAGTGTTAGAGTACCTGGCCTGGCAAGCAAAAAGGCCAAGTTCAATCCCCAGTGTTGCCAAAAAGAGTATATATAAATTTTAAAATCATTAAGATAATAAGTTCTATTCTGGACTAGTCTATTCATTTGATTGTACCATATTGTTTCTGCAGTTAAAGTTGGATTCCAGTCCTGGAGAGAACATGTATTTAGAAACAGAAAAACATTTAATCTTAATCAGTTTTCATCACACTTTACCATTTTCTGCAGATTTTATTTGCATTCTTTTCTGCTAGGCATTGCTGTATTAGCAGTAATTATTTGAGTTTTGTAACTTATTTTCTACATTGGTTGGTCAAATGCCAGTAACTGAACTTTGTTCATTTTATTCTTAAGCTCCAAATGTACTTTAGAGATAAATTGTAAAAAGGTCAGATAAAGGCCATATGTACATTTGTGAAGTGGAATTAAATAGAATTTTTATTGTCTTTACCAATGTCAGAATTATAAGTTTATTTATATGTTAAATAAAAATAACTTCTCTTATTCACAAATGACTTCGTTAACAAGAACTAGGAAATGAGATTAAGCACATTCAGCATTGTCCATGAAATCATGGGTGCTGATTGTCTTTGAAGAATAACTTATTTCAAAAGAAAAGCAAAACACCCATCCTATATGGGCATTATCATTACATTATTTAGCCGATACATGATTATCTCTACAACAGAAACTGAGTCTACATGAAGAGAACATGCTAAGTCTCCTCAAGTACCTTTCTAGTTCCTTGTCATTTCTTAACCATGAGTCTTTCAAAACTTGAGGAGAAGTCTAGAGGAAATAAGTCCTATAATTTTACAGCAGTTACTCTATAAAACAGATTGGACAAAATATGAGCAGATGGGAATTGTGTATTTGGAGATGGGCTCCAAGAAGTCCATAGAGTTGGAAGGATCATGTCCAAAGCCATAAGATTGAGTGAGTGGCCCACTAGCCTTGGGAAGAGTAGGATGAGGCCTGAGAGTAAAAGCCTTGGTATGTATGGCAGCCAAGGCTGTCAGCCTGTGGGTGCTGGGAAGCCATTGCAAGGTTCAACAAAGGGATGATCTTGCCTGTGACTTGAGTGTGGTCACAATGCATGATAGGTAGTTGGGGAGAGGATGCACCAGTCAAGGGGAACAGCAGAACGATGGCTGACTCAGCCACGCAAGAGGCTGGAGGTCCGCCTGAGCAGATGGAGACCAGAGAACAAGGGCTCTTCGGAGGACTGAGTGGGAAGCAAAGCTCCGATTTCTGTCCTGCACAACTAGGTTGACTACAAGCTGGTATTTAACTGTGATAAGGAGAGCAGGAGTAGAACCTGGCTTTTTGCTCTGGATGGGAAGGAAAAGGGAGTTTAGTGTCCTCAAAATGCCCCTTCATAGCTTAAGTTAGTGTTCAGGGCTAGGACACGCAGGTGTTGAACCTGTGCTTTATTGTCTTTCTTTAAAAAATCGCCATTACCAGCATTTGAACTCATTACCTTATGCTTGTTCAGATGTCACTTTGTGACTGAGCCACATCCCTAGCTTGGATATTTGGCTTTGTTTGTTTGTTTGTATTGAGATGGAGTGTGAAGGACTTTTCTGCCCAGGCTGGCTTCTAACCTCAATCCTCTGGATCTCAGCTTCCTGAATAGTTAGGATTATAGGTGAGAGTCACCAGTGCCAGGTTGCTTTATTGCAGTTTTTTAAGTATAAAAAGTTTACTCCAAATTTTTAACAGAAATTTACAGTGCATTGTTCACCTTTCTACACTGTGACAGACACAAATGTGTATATCCCATCTCAGACTCCTAAGGGTTGTTCCTACTCAAATGCGGAACAACAAGTAAGCTCTGGAAAGAAGCTACAGGAATGTCAGCAACTCAAGTACTGGGAGCTTTAGATGATATATAGCATATCGGAGAATCCTGTTGCAATGCCTGGCACCTAGAAGGGTTCTCAATACATATTAATTTGCTTAATATGCAAATGAAAAATAATATGCATTTGTATTAAAGACACTCTGTAAAATAAATTTACAAAGAACTGTGTCTAGAATTGCCTTTGGTTAGGAACCCGATCCTTTACCAGTTACTTGTTCTTTTCTAACTCCTCCTTTCTGTCCCCACCCACTGTCTTCAAGACTCTAATCTCATATAGAATGTTTCATATTGATGTGTAATAACTTAGGTGATTTCCTATTCTTCTACCCCAGCTTACGAGTGGAGAATACATAATAAAATAAATTTTTAAATATGTCATAATATTCTCAGTATATTGTTCTGTCATAAGAAGTGATCCATTTAATCCTTACTCTGAGCTCTCTTCCTGCGCCTCTTACAGGAAGGCCACAAGTTCACATGGCCAGAAGAGGTGGGGGTGGTTCACTGTGGGAAAGACTTGGGCGTCCATTCTAGCACAGGACAGACACTGAGTAACTGCTTACAGGGCAATGACTAGATGAAAGAGAACTGAGAGGATAGCCTGTGGCTATTAATTCTGTCTACCTGAAAGTGTCCTGGGGAGAAGGGGGTGCTAAGAAAGCAGGCTGTATGTTCAGGCTACTGATTAGGCCCAGAGCTCTGTGATCCTGCCACTCCTGTTCAGCTTTCGTCCTGTAAAATGAGGCAATGATAAGGCTTTCCTCATGGAGTTGGTCTGTTGGAAGACATAAATGCAACCCTGTATAAATCAATTAGAATAGTACCTGACACATTTTAAGCAGTAATAAGTGATGGTTCTTTTTAGCATTGGAGATACAATCTAAGTTATAGGAACAAACATATACATTGTTAAGAAAACTTCCCTGTATGTATGAACAGATGCCTGTAAACAAACAATGCTCCGGGAAGGAGGTAGTCAGCAATGTTTCTCTTTGAGGGCATGATTATATGACCCTTTTTGAATTAACACTTAGGAGAAATTCAACCCTAAATTACACAGAAGCTAAGGTAGAAACCCGCCCCCCCCCCCCAAGCAAACTTTAGACTTAAATACAGTGTTTACCTCTTTTTCCATGCATTTCACAACCAAGTG